AAAAAAGAAAACGACACAACTGTCGTTAAACAGTATAATTGCCATTATGGCTTCATCGAGCCTAAGCCAATTACATAATCCCTCTTTCCAATTATTATATATAGTTTGATTTTCAAAATGATAAAAGTAGTACATCGTAACATAACACCATCATCATTTTTCAATATTACAAAAGGAGTACATCGTAACACTACAAAAGCGACATATGTGCTATCTTGTCTTCATTGTTCATGTCTCTCGTTGAGTGACACACGATCTGTACAAGATAACGACTGTACTGTCGTTCTGCACTACATAAAACGGCTGGAATGTCGTTGTGTACTGTAAATCGTCCAATAGTTACACACACTACAGAAATACACCAACTGTGGAAAAAAAAATTAGCTAAAATATCATTTCATACTATATTCAACAATAAAAAGACCAATGTACACGAGATTACCAAAAGTACCTTTCTTTTTTCTTCAATTATTTAGAGATTTCAATGTAGATGATATAGAAACCAAAATTCTTATTCAAATACTCAAAATTTAGGAAAAGATAGGTGAGTAATATAATAAATAACAAGATTTCGTGAATTGAATTGGAGATGAATTTGGAAGCAAGCACAGGAGACGAAGAGCTCGTGAATTGGATTTGAGATGAATTGGGAAATTTAATTGGATTGAAAGGGTATTTGTGTCTTTTCATGATAGGGATAATTTAGACCTTTTACACCCTTTATTTATTGTATTTTTTAATGGAGACCATTTTACTAATAAACATTGAGAAAATGCTCTTTATCTAAATACATTGTTTGACCATACCTTTTAACAAAGAATCCCTTAATTTTGAGCTCTTGGGAGTTGGGAATTCTAATATAGACATTTAGTCATTGGACTCTCCATATTAATTTGAAAAAAAAAGGTATCTTGACTGAACTAGAGAAGATACAAAAGGTTCACAATAGAGACAAGTCTAGTGGGAGGTGCAAGTTTTTAAAGGATAATGACAAGTCATGGTACATGAAGAAAGGAATGTGGATTTTTCAATTGATAAGAAGGAAATAAGTGATGAAAATTAGAATGAAAATAATGGCATCCAAAAAGTTACAACCTTATATCAAAATAATGAAGTATAATAAGAAGCAGAGGCCTAAAAACATTATCTTTTTCTTGTATTCCCCGTTTAGATACGTGATAGGTTCTCTTTTATTCTTTTGGGCGGAGGTTAGGCTTAGTCCTCTCCTAAAATTGTATTATTAAATTTTCTATTATTGTTTACTCTTGTTTTGGTGGGGATTAAAATAAGATTTTTAGTAAATTTTAATAAAAATTGATAAAATATGTGGTTGAAAAGTGTAGGTCCTATAAAAGGAATATGTAAAACGAGTAAATAATGGAACTTGTGGATAGAAAAGGATACAAGACTCAAATCCTCACCCGTGAAAGAAGATGTGATTTCTGTGCTTTTCTAAGAAGCAAATACTTAACGATGAGTCGATGACCCATCTTTCGAGTGATAGGATTATACTCTTAGTAGTTGATTGGTATAATTTTCCATCCGAAAAATTTTAAAATTTTGAATCTTTTTGTATTCGTTTGACTTTATTTTACATGAAAATTATCCATTAAAGTAATAAATTTTTCCACAATTGGTTATAAAATTTGTTTCCATTGCCAAAAAGAAAAAAAAAATTGAAAATATTTCCTAAGAAATCATTTTTTTCATCAAAGTTTAGTGTTCGTTTGGCTTTATTTTACATGAAAATTATCCATTAAAGTGAATTTTTTTTACAATTAGTTATGAAATTTGTTTTTATTACAAAAAAAAATTAAAAATAATAAAAAATAAAATAAAAAGTTGGAATTCCATTTTCCCACCAAATAGGTGGGAAAATGATTTCACTAATTAAAAGGAAATAAGGCGCGTGAAACAAGAATCAAGAAAACAATTGGCCTAGAAAATTGTGTTCATCAAACAAGCTAAAACCAAGAAAATGAAAATCTATTTCTAAGTTCCATGGAATTAAATGCAAATTAAACAGGCCCTAAGGATAATAAATGTAATATCAATCAATCTATTACGTATAATTTTCATTTTTCCCTTTTTCCTTACGTTATACTTATATTATATGATTACATTTATTTTGTTATTATTTGTTATTAATTTTAATTTAGACAAAATGAATTTTCTTAAATTTTTAAAAACAATAATTATGTTGATTTGTTAATTATTTGTCAATCATAGGAGGAAATCATATTTATTAAATTTATAGAAATGTTTATGATGAAGTTAAAATTTTAAACTAGCTTTATTAAATTATGTTAAAGGATTTATTTATGTTGATTTTTTTAATATTATTTGTCAAATGTATTTGTAAAAAAAATCACATTTAATAATTTCATAAATTCTATATTAATATTCATAATTGTACAGTGATATCTTTTTAACTAAAATGATTTCATGTAAACGAAAAGTACATCTTGGAAAATAAGAAAAAGGAAAATATGCAATTTAAATATAATTATATAATATAACAATTTTAAAATAGGATAAGCCCCATTTGATTCACATTATTTTTTTTCATTCTCATTTTTCTACTCATTTTCAACCACACGTTCTTCAATAAAATAATATTTTTCATCACATCAATAACTTTTTTCTTTTTTTTTCAATCACATATTCTCTATCACATCAAAACAAAAAATGCATTCTTGGTGCAAAAATGTGCATCAAACATGGGCTAAATGGGTAAAATGGAAAGGACTTTGCTTGGTGTACAGGAGAAGGACATCTGGGGTAATTATAGTCAGTATGTGGCACAATACAATTGATTTGTTTTTATCTGTTTTTGTTTTTAACATCCAATATAGTTTTTACACTTAGCTCTATGGCACTAAATCCTTGCAAAAGTCCTTGTACTTTCATCCAAATGGAAGGAATGGAAAATGAGCAATGCAAATTGTACATTGTAGGGTTGATATCATCGTGCACATCCCATTGGAGTTTCAAAAGTTGTAGGTGGGAAAGTGTGTTTTTCTTTTAAAACTGTCAAATATAATTATTGTAAATCTTATAATTTGCTCAACAATATAATTTGCCAGTATTTAGACGTTGACATCAACTGCTGCATTACACTACAGTGTATCTGAATTTTTTTTTTTTTTTAGAACCAGTCGAATTCTCAAAAAGAATAATTCCATTCATTTCGATAAATATTTATCAAAAGCGCTCTCTAGTGACTATTGCATCCCAATTAAGAGATACATTTTATATTAAGCGTCTTAGAAAAACTCAAATCTCTCAATTTTTATAAGATGCCCATCTCTTAAATCTCTTGTGCTAGATTAGATTTCATAAAGTGTGACTCATGATATTGTGAATTTTAATCTTATGTCCATAGAACATATGTACTCACGATTGTCATTTAATCAACGTTATATCTTGATTCCCATTCAATAAATAACATAATTTTATCCCACTTTGAAAATTCATATGCTTTTAGTAGTAATATCATTGATTTGAAATTCAGACGAAATTGATTAATTCAACCAGAAAAATTGAGAAGTTTTACATTAAAAAAAAAATGAAAACATGAAAAATGTTTATACCAAGTTAAGAACTTGGTTCGCTCAAGAACCAACCATTTCAAGTTCATAATCAACTGGTTCACTTCATTTTTATTTTTTTAAAAATAGTTATTAACATCGATTTGACGTAGATTGGCCATGATATATGTCGGGGTCTATCCTTTGGAGGGAAACATGAAACGTTGAAAATAATTAGAGGGCATCTGAATTAATCTCTCCCATGAATTGCTGACAAAAATCACATGTCCATGGAGACAATTTGAGACCCACCAGGCCACCATTATCCCTATTCCACATGGAAGTGTGAGAAAATGGCCTGCAGAGTACAATTCCCTGCTTATTTTAATGAAAAGTACTATACAATATTGCAATTGCCAACTCTTTACGACTCACACATTCCGATCATAATTTTGATGTACGCATGGACCACTACACCCGACCATACAAGCTCTTTTGGGCTGTTTTCTTTTTGGCATTCTATTGAGGGAATTAATTGACTTGTAAAAGTGTAAAACATCTTTTTGGATCTGCAATGATTTCTCCCTTTTGCATTGGTACGGGTCTCTTGATTTATTGAATATTATGTGCGGCTGTTGGGTTTCTCTTTTTGTTCGATATTTGTTTGGTTTGTTCTGTGAAACCCCGTTGAAATTCCTTTTCTCTGAAATGAATTAATTTGTGTACTGGGCTTTCTTGTTTTACTTATAAATTTGAAGAAAAGTGCACGATTGGGCAAATTTCTGAATTCTTGGAATTATTTGCTAGAACCATATCTGGTTTTGAGGGTTTTTGAGCCTTTGAGTGATGCTTAAATAATTGGGGTTTGACTTGTGACGTTATATTACATGAATCTGGGATTGGTGAAATATGCTTTATGCCCTTTTGTTTGGTCATGTTATAAAGGGTAGGAAGAATACAAGGAAAACCTAGTTCATTAACTGTGTGGTCATAAAAACTGGTTTTAATAATTGGTGAATTATCACCAGCCAGAGCATTTTAAAGACGGGCTTGAAATCTAAAGCAAGGGTGCAGAGGTACTAGAATAAAAATAGACATTTGGGAGTTTTGGGCAGTTTGATTGAAGAGAGGGGAGTAAAAATGGCTGCCAAGCTTTTACATTCATTGACAGATGAAAATCCCGATTTGCAAAAGCAAGTAGGATGTATGACAGGCATATTTCAAATGTTCGATCGCCATCATATTCTTACAGGACAGCACACCCCAAAGAGGATTCCTTCGGGTAAATATTCCTCGTAGTATTGTTTCTTGAATATAATCTTGTAGGATTTCTTATTTGTTTAGTTAGAGATTCTTTGACCAGTTTACAGCATCTGTTGAGTTCGTGAACATGACCAATAGAAGAATGATGCACAGTGTTTAGACTTCCTAAATCATATGTAATTGGCATTTGCATGATTTTCCACGATACTATATAATGACTGTCCCCTTCATCACACAAACTGTGTATCACTGATTATTCTAATTTTGCAGGAAATTCCCACTTCAATAATGGCAACTATGAAAGAGACTATAACAGTGTGCATCAAAGATCTGTGATGGTATGCACTGTTAATTTTATTTTCTTCTCGTGTAGAAACACCATCTCTATAAATCCACTTCTTTCAATTAAAGATTTCAGGGTTGAATACTTGAATTGAGAATGTTTATTTGGGCCTACGCCTTTTGTGGATAAAATTAACAAGACTACAAAGCTCAAAGTTTTACCTTTTAATTTTCTTCTCTTTTGGCTATGCCATTTTTGTAATGCTGTGGTGAAATTGCTTTTGTTATTTCTTGATAGAGAAAAATGCAAATTAACCCCCCCCCCCCCCCCCCCCCCCCTACATATTAACCCCCCCCCCCCCCCCCTCCCCATGATTCTGAAATCTTACATTCTACCCTTGCCTAATTTAATAAGCAACTTGCCCTTCAGAATCTCCCAAATTATCTTTCTTCCCTTCCCTTGACTTGAACTAATGGTATTACATTTTTATTTTATTTTTCCTTTTTCCCTATTGACCATTACCTGATTATAATGCACAAGGGATTGTGAGTTTCATAATGAATAAATAGGGGTAAGTTTTTTCTTGTTTTCGATTAGAGACTGAACTTATTTGTGTTGTACACATTTAATAAGTGCAAGTCATATATTGTCAAGAGTGTTGTACACATTCCCTATGTTGGATAATATATAGCCCTTGTTTGGTCCCATTTTCTAAAACTCATTTTCCTCCAAACTTATTTTAAATCACACATTCTTCCAATAAAATAATTTTGTACGTGAATCCATAGTTTTTCCCTACTTTTTGACCACACATTCACAAAAAATAAAAAAATCACTTTTCATATAATCTATTCTTAAAAAATATCTACCATAGAGGGGCATAAGAATCTGTCTTTCATATCAAGGATACATTGGTCGTTTCATTGGAAAAATTAACAGTGGACTAGTTAACAAGTTGTGGGGGTGGGGATTTGGGATTTGCAGAGTTTCCGAAAAACGTGAGGAAAATTGCCTATTTTCTACTAGAAATTATGGCAGCCAAAATAGCCCATTAGAGTTGATAGGGCATGGGCTCCTTCCAAAATATTGAACATGTGAAATGTGATTAAATTGCAATTCTCTTATTTAAATGAATCTTGTTCGATGAGCCTGGTGAATGCTTATATCACTTTCCTTATGGGAGTCTAAAATTGATTGCAACTGTATTTTACTATTTTCTCAATTACAGAACTCCCACTGTCGCCGTGAATTTATTTGTGGTTTATAGACATATTATCTGCTTGGAATTTGAATTTTTGCGATTTGCTAATGTAGGAGAAGAACTCAAACAAGAATTTCCGAGAGAGACAAAGACTCTCCACAGAATCTTCGAGGGCTTCATTTTCATCTTCTTCTCGTTCATCTTCTTTCTCTTCTCTTGACTGTAATCGAACTACTCAACTAGAACCCTCGTCGTATGACCGAATACTTTTTCCTGAAACTCCTTCAAGGGACCCATCAATGAGCCCACAAACATCGTCTTCGCAATTTAGTAGACAAACTCTTGATCTTCGTGATGTGGTGAAGGAATCCATGTATAGGGAAGTTCAGGGCTTATCTGTTAAAACTATGCAGGAGGCAGCAGATCCTGTTTTGAAGTACAGGGACTCCCCAAGGCCACTACAAACTATTAGCAATGATTCTCATGGCTCAGGCCTCGATACAAAGAAGAATTTGCCTGCTGATCTCAGGGAATCTCTTAGAGTTCTTTCTAAACTTCAAGAAGCACCTTGGAATCATAATGAACCAAGAGAACTTTTAAGAGTATCATCCTATAATGTGAAAGATGGGTCATCCTTTTCTGTTTCAAAAGATGCCCCTCGGTTTTCTTATGATGGGAGGGAGATGAACCACGGGCACTTTGAATCACAGGACATTTCAAAATCTACCATTAAGCTTAAAGATCTTCCAAGACTTTCATTGGACAGCAGAGAGGGTTCCATACGGAATATGAGTGCTGATTCAAAATCCAACTTTTCAGCAAAAAGTTGGCAGAAGGATGGTGGTGAGTTTGATAGTAAGGTTCAGAATTCACAACAGACATCTAGAAATCAGGCACGACCTCCAAGTGTTGTAGCAAAGCTGATGGGTTTGGAAACACTGCCAGAAGCTGGCTCAGCCAGCAACACTAACTCGGGTTCAAGTAGAATTTATCCAGGTGAAGATTTTGTTTACTCTTCGAGGTCAAGTGAAAACTTGGATCTATGCAAGCCGATCCAACTATCCTCAATGAACTTGAGGAAGGAACCAACTTCGCCACGTTGGAGAAATCCTGATACAGGAATGAAACCTATATCACGATTTCCGATTGAACCAGCACCATGGAAGCGGATTGATGGAAAAAGGGTCTCTCAAAAACCAGCTTCTACAAGTACGAGAGGTCCAGGAAAAGTTCCGAACACCTTTCTTTCCATTTATAGTGAGGTAGAGAAGAGATTGAAGGACCTTGAATTCACAGAATCTGGAAAGGATCTTAGAGCACTTAAACAGATATTGGAGGCTTTGCAGGCCAAGGGACTCCTGGAAACCCAAGATGTAGGACAAGATTCCAGTTTAACCAGTCATAAAGACCGTGAGCAAAAATATACAAGTTCCACGTATGATGCTAGATCAGCAAACAGCCCAAAGCCACAATCTGATAAATTTCTTGCGTCCACCAAGAATGATAAATCCTTGAAAAGTTATGAATCTCCAATTGTAATCATGAAACCAGCACAACTAGTTAAGAAATCTGATATACCTTCTTCAGTTATTTCACTTGATAGCTTATCTGGTCTGCCCAAGTATCGGGTAAGTGAGTTTGTGGATGACGGAAAGGGTTTAACCCGTAGCAGAATAGCTAAAGATCAGATTTCTAAAACTAGTCCTCAAGACAATGCTTTAAATGCTGTCAATTCGAAAACAGACAGCAGATTTTTAAGAACTACCCAAACGTCAACAAGATCCCATCAGTTGTCCAAAGATAGCTCTGCTGGCTCAGGAAAGAGTTCAGCATCATACTGTCCAAGAATACAACAGAAGAAACTGGACCTGGAAAAAAGATCTCGACCACCCACACCTCCCAATTCGAGCAAATCGACAAGACAATCAATTAAGCAACCAGGACAGTCCAATTCCTCAGGTGGAAGACGCAGGCCAAAACATCCCAACTTACAGCAAAAGGATGACCAACTGGGTGAGTTCAGTAGTGAGTCGAGGAATTTGGTTTACCGTGATAATGAAATTTCTGTTCATTCTAATGAGAGCACTGTATTGCACTCCAAAAATGTGAAAGCCATTAGTCCCGAAAGATCTCATGGTTGCCAGAGTGCATCTGTGAAGGCTGCGGAGTTCTTGGTATCTGGCATTGTAGATAAGGTAGGTGATTTCTACATTCAATGTCCAATTATTCAGACTCAAGTCGTTTTGTAAAATGTTTAATGGTTTATTTCAGAAATCTCCCCATAATGTGAGGGAAGAAAAATCGGGAGAGCTTGCTCATGTTCCTCCTGAGTACCCCAGCCCTGTATCTGTTCTTGACAATGCTTTGTATGCAGACGATTCAACATCACCTATAAAGCTTGTAGGTAAAACCCTTAAAGGTAATGCTCTCCTCTTGTGAAAATTAAACTCTGATGTGGTGAAGTAACCAAATGAACAAGATTATAGGGGATATGGGATTTTTTTTTCTCTCTCAAACTGCTCAATATACTAATTCATATGTATACTATAAGGATGTGTAACTCTAAGATGAGTATTTATTGGTAGTAAATAAAATCTCTAGTCTATGACGTGTTTTACTTCCTCTTATACATCAAGATTCGCCTTTTTTTCTATTTTTCTTTTCCGGACCATGTAAATATAGACCTGAGTCACCTGACAAATGAAATATAAAATAGTTGCGCCGGCACGAAAAAATAATCACCAAATGGATATAGTTTAACAGGTCTGAAGTGTGCAGCACGAGCCCCCTCAAAAAATAAACCATGCTTCTTAAAAGGATTGTCATAGATAAATAGTTTGCATGAATTCAATTTTCTTTCACCTTTACTTTTGTTGTGATTCAGAAGTACTATTCATTCTTCAGTATCCTTTATCAAATTAGTTTAAATATTCTCGTCAAAATTCTATATGTTATTATGGATGAGTGGAAATAAGAATATGTGGCCCTTTTAAGAGGCTCTAGCTCATTGAATAGCGTTTGATGACTAATTGTGGAAGCAAAGGAGCAATAATAGCTCTGTTTTTCTTTGTATATATGCATCTAATTGTTGGTCATTCATTTCACAGGGGACAGATCCATGGATTCCGATAGAATTCTAAATATGGTTCAAGGTATTTCAGTGGATGATGTTGTACCTAACTACATGGAATCTGGTACTACATCTGAAATATGTCGAAAGAAACTTCAGAACATTGAAAACTTAGTTCAGAAGCTCCGAAGGCTTAACTCGAGCCATGATGAAGCACGCATAGATTACATTGCTTCTCTATGTGAGAACACAAATCCCGAACACAGATACATTTCCGAGATTCTATTGGCCTCCGGTCTCATCCTCAGGGACCTCAGCTCAAGCTTGGCAACTTTTCAGTTTCATCCGTCTGGCCATCCTATCAATCCCGAGTTATTTTTAGTCTTGGAACAAACAAAGGCAAGCACTTTACAAAAGGAAGAATGTAGCTCCGTAAAAACAACTGAATCGATGACCAAGGAGAAAATTCATCGGAAACTTGTATTTGATGTTACAAATGAAATTCTTGCCGGAAAATTGGCTTTAGCTGGGAAATTGTCCCAGCCTTGGTTGAAACCGCACAAGGTCACCAGAAAGGGCTTGAATGCACAAAAGCTTCTCAGAGAATTGTGTTCCGAGATTGATGAGCTTCAAGATAAAAATTCACGATGCATCTTCAATGATGACGATGATGAACTGAAAACCATATTGTGCCACAATATGATGCATCAATCAGAAAGCTGGATAAATTTCGACGATGACATTTCAGGCATTGTCCTTGATGTTGAGCGGTCGATTTTTAAAGACTTGGTCGATGAAATTCTGGGAAAGGCAGCTGGTTCAAGAACTAAGCCGGCTAGGCGTAGGCAACTCTTTGCAAAGTAGTTTGGATTACCCTACGTTCTTATACAGCATCTACGTTGATTGGTTATTCAATTTACGTTGTTTTTTGTTAAGAGCCCGACAATCGATGTTTAAGACTGTTCCTAATCCTACTGAATTCATGCATTGTAACGTGTTTAATATTTAATGCAATTAATTCAAGAAAACAACACTTCTCTTTCATCTTGGAAATGTGTTCTATTGACAATACATGGTCCATGAGAGCAAATGTGTTTTGACTTACAATTATGTAGCTCTTCATACTACTCTACAGATGAACTCGCACTTAATTATTTTCTTGTATGTACTTATTAATAAATGATTTAATAATCATTTATTGAAAAACGTTTAAATACGTAGGGTACGTTGAATTGAACGATTAAGAAAATAAAGTTTTATTACACCATTTTCAACAAAATTATAGGTACACATACTAAATATGTTGCTTTTAAGTGGCATTCTATAAATTTTGTTGTGGACTGCCATTTGTTTCATTTCATAGGTGAAGATAGTTGTATGCATGCTTGGCTTTGGTTGTGAGGGTATTATATAATAGTGCAATCAGCATCCAGTCAATCGGGAAAACATATTGGTTGTGGACTGCCCTTTATCTCCTATTGGGTTCCCTTTTTTTTTTGTAAGTATTACAATTATTAAAATACACATTGCGCCACTGCAACAAAAGTCGCTTCCATAGCATAGTGGTAGTGCGTTCGCTTCGTAAGCGAAAGGTCGCGAGTTCGATCCTCGCTGGGAGCTTTTATTTTTCTTAAAGTTTTCACAATAATTTGTCTAGAAATGTACTAACAAAACGTCAGCGTTTGCTGAGTAGTTGATAAAATCCTAAAACATTTCCAAGGCATCATTTTTACTGAATTTTCCTTGGGTTCTAATTTCATATAAATTCATTTTAGCTTTGAAAAAAATTATTTATATAGACTTTTTTAAAAAATATATTTGATTTTAAAATTATAATAAGTGGATTGAAGATAATATATGTTGGAAAAATTCTTGAAAATTGTAACAATCTCCTTCAAGATTGAGTCGCCTAAACTGCATTATATTAATCTTGACCATCGTTGTTATCCAACCAATTTGTGCGCTTGCTCAATTGAAACAGCTGTAAATTTCAAATGTATAAACGTGTTAATCCCTGTTTTATAGAAATTATAATCTAAATTTATCAAAGTCGAAGTAAATAATTAATTATAACCATATATTTCATGAAACCAACAACTTTTCAACAATACATTTCATTAATTTTTATTAAAATTTGCTAAAAAATCTGATCTTAATATCCACTAAACAGGGACTTAATATTCTCATCATTTCCTGATAAAAATAATGTACAATAAATTACTTTAGCCCATGTTTGGTACATTCATTCTTCTACTTATTTTCAATCACACATTCTTTAATAAAATAATATTTTTAATCAAATCAATAATTTTTCCTTCTTTTTCAATCACACATTCTCCATCAATCTACTATTCCAGAATACATTTTTCCAAAATAATGTGGCTCAAACACACCATAATATTGATATTCTCATTCCAAAACTAAGAGTTAGAGATGAGAATTAGACCTGATTTAGTTGGGATAAAATTTAAATTTTTATTAGGTTTCGATAAAAGTTAGTTTAAATACTTGATTGAAAAGTTGATAAAAGTTCTGATTAAGTTCCATGAAATATGTGATTGAAAATTAGCTTGAGGGGAAATTGAATGTTAGGAAATTGAGCACTGAAACAAATTCTATATTGGGAAAAATTCATAATTAAGAGGTTTCGTTTCCCCCATTTCAAATTTGAGAATTTAAGTTTAAAATTTCAAATTTCAAATATTTTTAAATTTTATTTATAAATTAATTAAGCCCCCGTTTGGCCCCCATTTTTTTCCATTACATTACATTAATTTTTTCTCTCTTCTTTTTCAACCACACATTTATCAAATAAAATAATATTATACACAAATCTAAAATTTTTCATTACTTTTCTACCAAACATTCTCCCATCAATCACTATTCCAAAATTTTTCAACACCCCAAAATGAGGGCCAAATAGGGGCTAATTAAACATATATTTTATTAATTAAATATATTAAGGTCACAATTCCATATAATTTGGTCACAAATTCTATATAATTTGTCACAAATCACAAATTTTACATGTCACAAATTATTTTACGGTCACAATTCAAAAACTTTATAGGTCACAATTTGTTCATCGGTCACAAATAAAAGATTGAAACGTCACAAATTATTTTACGGTCACAATTCAAAAAATTTATGTCACAATTTGTTCATCGGTCACAAATCAGAAATTTTATATGTCACAAATTATTTTACAATCACAAATCAGAAATTTTAATTGGTCATAAATTATTTTACATCACAATTCAAAAATTTTAAGTCATAATTTGTTCATCGGTCACAAATCAAAAAATTGTATGTCACAAATTATTTTACGGTCACAAATCAGAAATTTTATAGGTCACATTATTTTACGGTCACAATTCAAAAATTTTATAAGTCACAATTTGTTCATTAGTTACAAATAAAAAATTTATAGGTTTTAATTTATTTATCAATCACAAATCATAATATTATAAGTCACAACTTGGTAGACAATCACAAATTGTCAAATTATTGATCACAAATTAACAATTTTTTTAGGTCACGCGTATTTTTTGTCACAATTTATTTATTGGTCATTGATTAATCAATTAAATGGTCACAGTTAACCAAATAATTTGTAACCACAGCCAACCTTCACAACGCCACCTCATAACTGCCTCAACAACACAATCGCCACCGCTGCCACACAACCGCCAGATCCTCCACCACAAAAATGGGAAAACACAGTTGCCACCACACAGCCTAACCCATACTCCCCATCACGGAGCCCCACTACACTCCACATAGTGCCACCACCATCATTAACACCAACAGTGCCTCCACCACCACGACGTCACCACCATCCAGTCATCCTCACAAGCACTTTCGTCCAGTCCCATCCTGTCGCCATCACTACCACAAACACCACCAACAATAACAACAATACAACAACACCACCACCACCACCACCACCACCAACCAGATTTGAACCCACCACATACCACATCTGCACCCTTCCACTGATCCCTCTATCACACAAAACCACTTTTTCAAGCACAATTTTCTAAGCACAAAACCATATTGTAAACTATAGAAAAGATCCGTGCACCTATGAGCTTCTTGTTGCAATTGATTTTG